TGTGCAGTTTATTGTTTTAAATTACATAGCACTAAAGCCGCATCGATGAATAAGCTCTTGTAATAAACCGTTGGCAGAAGTACAGTGGCATGAATTAAGACCATTATGTTACTTTACCATGTTCGTTAAAAATTAAATAACACAGTGTTTCCAAATGGAATAGATAAGTTAATACATACCATGGTGTAGTTCCATACAAATAAATATATGTCAATTTAACCTGAGATAAAATAATCCCGATATTTCATTCTAAAAGCGGAAAGATTGTTATCTTACCTTAATTTAATAAAACATATTGAACAGAGAAAGATTTATTACGTTCCTTATTTTATGGTGGGTGACTATGTCTTTCCGATAGGTGTTTTAACGTGGTAGAGCCATGCTGCAGCTATATTATATATATATATATATATATATATATATATATATATATATATATATATATATATATATATATATATATGTTGTTTTACCGGAGTAGGACCACGCTCTCACAGAATACCAGCGTAAAATAGATGGGATTTTAACGCATCTGTATATTGATTATTAATAGACGGGGAGATATTTTTTAATAGGATAGGGTGAAAAATGAGCACACTTACTGATGGTAAGTAGTTGCTGGGGTCCATATACATCTACATCTATCGTTTCCAGTAAAAAGGGTCTCCGGTTCTCTACATTCACCATACGAAATACAGCAGCATTAAGCTACTATTTCACGCTGGTATTCTGTGAGAGCGTGGTCCTTCCCCGATCGAGCCGACCCATTCGTGCTACAACTATACTACTAATATAACTGCAGCATGGCTCTACCACGTATAAAAGTGTATGGACCACAGCACTTACTTTCAAGTAGACTGTGCACTAGTTTGTCGCCCATATTATATAAAAAGGCGGTATCAGAGACTTATCCGTATTACGGTCATTTCACAACACGTCATATTTTTTTAATAATGAGGATACGATTTTGTCAGAGTCCGTATATTGCTGCTTTGGTGATATTGAGCGATCTGGATCTCGGTATCTATAATACTATTATTATTATTATAGGCTATTTGGACACATTAAACTTGGACTTATAATCTTCAAATCTGTTGAAGCAAAAACACGATTGAATTAAAATTCTCAATAGAAAAAAATATCGAAAACACCTAGTTTTACACTCATTTTGAGTTTGAAATCTGAAACCATATGGAATTGAATGATGATTTTTAACGTAATAGATTTTTAACGTGGTCTTCTAACGTAGCAATTACGAGGCGGCACTGAAAATTTCGGGAATCAAGGAAGTGACATAACATTACCATTTAAAAATGTATTTATTGCTTTTCGAAGTATTCTCCGCGAAATTTGACACATTTTTCCATACGATGGAACCAATCATTAAAGCAACCATTCCATTCGGAAGTTGGGGTCTCCAAAATGGCCGTTTTGTAGGCTTTTTGTACAGCTTCTTCAGGTGATGAAAATCTCTGTCCACGCAATTTATTCTTTATTTTAGGGAAAGTATAGAAATTATTAGGGCTTAGGTCGGGACTGTACTGCGGATGGTCTAATAATTCTATGTTTTCTTGCTCTAAAAACTCTTTTGTTCTGTGTGCGGTGTGAGAACTCGCATTGTCGTGATGGAGGATGATGCGGCGGTTGCAGTTCTCTTTACGGAGTTCAGCAACGACCTGTGGCAAACAAATACTAGCATACCATTCTGCATTAACCGTTCTTTGTCCCTCAAGAGGAATAGACGTAACATGGCCGGTTTTGGAGACAAAAGTGGCCACCATTTTTTTTTGAAACACTCCGTGAACGAACAATTTTTGTTGGCTTTAACTCATTTTCGAACACCCAAAATCGTGACTGGTTTTTTGTTTCGGATTCGTACGCATATATCCAGAATTCGTCACCTGCTACGATGTTGTATACAGCATTTAAGGATCTTGCGTGGAATCTTTCGAGAGTTCTGACGTACCAAGTAACGCGAGCCGCTTTTTTCTCTCCACAGAGCGAATGCGGTATCCATCGGGAAAACAACTTTTTTACACCTAATTTTTCATGCAAGATTATTTGTATTTGACTCATGCCAATTCCTAAAGTTGCCTGTATTTCGCGGTATGTCACATGTTGATCTTCCTCAATCAGCTTACGCACAGCATTAACGTTTTCTTGGGTGACTGCAGTTTTTGAACAACTTTGACGGGGATCATCACTGAGCTTGACACGTCCACGTTGAAATTCAGCAAACCAGCGGTAAATTGTAGTTTTGGATGGGGCTTCATCACGAACTGCAGAAATTATCCGGTCAACACACTGTTTTTGTGTTAAACCACTTCGAAAGCATAATAAATCATCGCCCTTGAATTTTCTCAACGACTAAACAAGTTTGACAAAAACTTGTGACAAGACCGAGAATCTTTTTTAAATAAATGAATGGTATTCGATTTTTAAAACGTTGAAAAAAGGAGTTTTCAATTAAAAAAGTTTTTAATATGACAGGAACAGTGGAAATATTCCATTCCCGATACTTTTAGTGCAGCCTAGTATGTGATTTGGCACGTTGTTTTATTCTTAGCGAGCAAGCACACTCTTTTTCTGTCTCATAGTTTGCACACGGTAAGTAAATAGCGCTATCCTTTTCAATTTGTTCAATCAGTCAGTGTTGCTACTTTAGCGACTTTGTCACAAAATTTAACGAGTTTTTTGTTAATTTAGGGAGTTTAATTCAATGTTTAGCGACAAAAAATATTCTAGTGACTTTTATCGACATTTGCACTTACTTCAATTTTTGTTACCATGACTAATTTAGGTGGAAGGAATACCATAAACTATCCGTTAAAGAAATTATAAAATGTAAAGGAACCGAAAAAAAGTTTCTGGATGTCGCTTTTACCTACGAACCCTGACTTCTAAACTAGTTGTAATAACTGTATCTTAGAAAACAGTGTCTTCCCCTATTAGTGGTACAATTACAATAGATTCTGGCGACTTAAGAATAATTGCGATTTAGTTAACAATTAACTAACATGCAGTAAACGAAAATCAATGAATGAGAAAAAAAGTGTTCCGTGGATAGTAGTCGTGTGCAAGCGTGCGAATTTAACATATACATATATATTTAGACATACATACATATATATTCATAAAATACACATATAAATACACACACATATATATATATATATATATATATATATATATATATATATATATATATATTATATATATATTGATGGAATTTTCATCTAATAAAATTTAATTAATAATTAACAAAATTTCTTTTAATAACATTATATTATTAAAAGAAACATTTGGAGACTTTTTGTTACTAAATTTATTTACAACTAAGGACTTTTTGATGGCGGTCTAGAGATCTACTCCAATTCACTGTGGCAACATTGCAATCAATCAAACTGCTGCGGCATCCGTTGCGGGACGAACCTATGTTTGGCGTCATTAGAGAGAGTACATCCAGTATAAGCTGATCTCGCATTGCTTTCCTTATAATGAGGGGTCAACTTTAGCTTGAGTAGCCGTCAGTATGTACAATGAAAGGGGAAGTGGGGGCGAAATTAGAATTTGAGCTGAGGTAGTATGGTCTATTAAGACATTTCACAAGCTGAATAATTTGTGGACCAGCATGCTTATACGAATCGTCGGTTGGAAATCGAAATGTTATATTTAGCATTACTTCGATGCAGTGATGACGCATAAGTGGCTGCCGCCAGGGGCCACAAAAGCCAAAATTGTATGATTTCAATTGACATCATTTCAAAAATAGACGTGTGGAGACTTTTATCTCCACAATGCCACACCGTACTTTATGCTCTCTCTAGTTACATTAGAGTGCATTTTCCTCGATGTATGCGGCTACCGTATTGTAAGGTGGACTGACACAAGTCGTATTACAATGTCCTTCAGCTAATTTTTAGCTATTCGGCTACAGTGGTGAGTCTTAACCTAGGCTTACTATCTGCACACACAGGTGCACGCTCCATTCCGTTATTCTCATAGTCCGATGGAAGGGATATCCGACAAGACCGGAGAGAGAGTACGCGCAAAACCAAGTTTTATTTGCTTATCGAGGCAAAGGGGTCAAACACCGCCATCTTCCTGAGTATTTATGTCAAAATAAAGTTATTAAATTATTATATATTAAAGGGGTGTCCCAAAAATATCACGTCAGAGTGACATGGAAGATAGGCTAGCCTTAGGTCTTGCAGATAAAGAAAATGACCTTAGTAAAAGTATTTTAGTTTTTGAGATATCGTCAATTGTTTTATTTTCTCAAAAATCTCTACTTTAAGTTAGTGTTTCTACCGTTGTCGTTAGAAATACCTTGGAAATTGTTGGTTTTTATATTTTTGTATTTTTCGAACAGTTGTTCCATGCGTTGAAAGTAAATTTCTCCCAAAATCTAGTGTATTTTTTAATAAAATAAAATGATTTGTGTTACTTTTTAACCTTTGACAAAATTGAACTCCAACTTTGTTGACCTACCCTGAAAAAAAATGTACTGACGTAAACTGGCAAACAATTTGAAAAACTGCTCCAATTACTGCAAATTCAGAAAAGGTATAACACTTATATCAACTATTTAAAAAAATGTCAAAATTACTATTTTTATTATTAAGGGTAGCGCTCTCAGCGGGAAGCTGTAATTTGTTATTGAATAAGAATTCTGTTTTCAAAAGCAATGAAAAAGGAATGTTGTTTAGTTATTGTGTTTAGCATCCCATCAACCAGTTCTCCGGTCATAAACTGAGCGAGATAGCTGTGAATAGAGGGAGAACAGTGCTATCTCAGTCTCGCACAGGTAGCTTCGGACTTCGGTGGTTGATTTTGTTTTTAGTACGTTATTTTCAGTTTTTTGTGATACTCGTGCGATTTTGTGCTCCTTTCGTTATTTTTAATAATTTTGACTACTCGGCGTTTATAAATTGGACTTTGATTTGCTTACTACTCGGACTGTTGTTGGACTGATTGATTTTGTTGTGAAAGTTCTAATAATGGAAAATCCACGAAGAGGCGCTGTTAGTCGCTTTACACATCGTGAGTACGCTGACATGTACTTGATTTACGGCGAAACCAGGAAAGTTTCTACTCGAGGCATAGTCTCATTAAACGCAAGGTTGGCTGCAAGATTGTACGCGGAACGGTATCCAGACCGTAGACATCCGACGTATGAGGTGATTGAACGATTGGATTCTGCCTATAGGGAGGGCAGAATACCTGGAACTCGAGGTTCTCAATCTGGGAGTCCGCGAACAATCGAGGATGACGTCGTGCTACAGGATTGCGAAGAGGATCCTCGACTTCGGTTCGTATGATACAAAGCCGCACTGGAATACCGAAATCATCGGTTCATCGTATTTTTAAAAAAAGGTATCAATTTCACCCATACCACATTCAAAGAGTGCAAACTCTCCTTGAGGGTGATTATGTAAAACGAGTTCTGTTTTGCCGACGAATGCTGGAACTAAATAGGCAAGATCCCGACTTTTTTCATAAAGTTTTGTGGACTGATGAGTCTCAGTGCAGAAGGGACGGATATCTTAACCTGCACAATATTCATAGTTGGCAGTTAGAGAACCCGCATGAAACCAGAGAAGACCGTTCACAATACATGCTTAAAATCAATTTATGGACAGGAATCTTCAATGGTTCAATATTAGGACCAGTAGAGCTACCTCCTACATTAAATGGAGAAAACTATTTGGCATTTCTTCAACACCGATTACCAACGCTCCTAGAGGATGTGCCACTACAAACACGGGCAACGATGTGGTACCAAAACGACGGTTGCCCAGCACATTACGCTCGAGACGTTCGAGCCTATCTTGACAACAGGTTCCCAAGAAGGTGGATTAGGCGATTGGGGCCAATCTTATGGCCCCCGAGATCTCCTGACTTAAATCCTCTGGATTTTTTTTATTGGGGTTGTCTCAAGGATAAAGTGTACCTAAAGCCAATTCACAACGAAAGGGAACTCCGTAACCGGATAAACATAGCGGCTCAAGAGATATCGCAAATAGGTTTAAGAAGATTAAAAAATAATTTTATCAGAAGATGTAGATTATGTATTAGAACTAGAGGGAAACAATTCGAGCATCTGCTTTAATATTTACGTTAATTAAAAATTTCATTTTTTTTTGGCAATATCCCATAGCTAAGCCAATAAGTTCGGCTTTAGCGCTACCCTTAATGATAAAAATGGTAATTCCAACATTTTTTAAACAATTGATATAAGTGTTGTACCTTTCCTGAATCTGCAGTAATTGGAGCAGTTTTGCAAATTATTTGCCAGTTTACGTCAGTAAAATTTTTTTCACGGTGTGTCATCAAAGTTGGAGTTCAATTTTTTCAAAGGTAAAAAAGTAATAGAAATCATTTTTTTAATTAAAAAATACATTAGATTTTGGGACAAATTTATTTTCAACGCATGGAACAACTGTTCGAAAACTAAAAAAAAATATAAAACCAACAACTTTCAAGGTATTTCTAACAACAACGGTAGGAACACTAACTTAAAGTAGAGATTTTTGAGAAAATAAAACAATTGACGATATCTCGAAAACTAAAATACTTTTACCAAGGTCATTTTTCTTTATCTGCAAGACCTAAGGCTAACCTATCTTTCATGTCACTCTGACGTGATATTTTTGGGACATCCTGAAGTATAATCAAATCCGTCCACATGATCAGAAGTCACGCCTACAAAAACTCGACTACGAATACGTGTATTACATGGTAAGAGTATCACTCTGTAAAATATTGATTAAAAAGTACGGTTCAATTTTAGATTTGAAAAACTAATTCTCTACTAAGAAAACATTACTTTATCGTCCTCTCCCGTTATAAGAAAGATTTTCCTAAATAGTCACGCTTGGCTGATGGACTGACGATCGCAGTTCCGTACGTCTTTAACCATTGCAGCTGCTGCCCATCGCCACGCCGGTCTAGGTATTCACAACTGCAGGACAGTTTCATTGCTGTAACACAAAGGAATTGGATTAACCGGTGAAGAGAGAATGACACACT